GGCGGGGGGAGTTAATTCAAATTTATTTATTAATAATATAATCAATGGACAATGATAGGCTGCTTTTATTAGTTCTATTTCATAAAGCTAAATATTAAAATGAATAATCTGAGCATTTGTTACTCTGGTCTGATTTATAACCACAGGCTGAGAGGTAAGAGGCTTGAGGCCAGGAATACCAGAGAAAGGATCTATGATTGTCACACATCAAACATCTGTTACTGACCATAGAGTAAGTCACAAATATACAGTGTTATGAGCATACTCTGTGGTTAACCTCCCAACTTCACATCCCTCTTTACTGCTTCCAGTTTGTTTTTACATGGCTTCTACACCAGGTACTTGACACATTACGCAAGGGAATTCGTTATCAATTTTTAGTAAATATGTAATTATCACAGTCACGAGGGACTGTAAAATGAAAGCCATAATTATGATCACACGATCTACCAACATAAGTCTCATGACAATTAGTATTTTGCGATTTGATGAATCGGCTGCAAATTCCAATTTCTATGAATCATCTTGGATGTCTGAAAATGCATGCTATTTTTGTCAAGCTCATCTTGACTAAGCCTTCAAATGTACCACTTAAATAGTAGTAAAATAGTAGCCAAGTTGCCAACTAGTTCTGTCTTGAACAAAAACATGTGTCAACATGCCACAATGTCATTCTGCTGTATCATCTGTCATAATTTATTCATATTCGCTGGAATGTATTTGTTTGTTGGGTTTCGATTGTACCTTAGGCTCTTAGATACCACATACATCTTATAAGATTCATTAAAAGCAATGGTTGTGACTCCAACACGAGATTATTATGACACATAATCTTATCTTCATATGAACGTTCAAACGGGGAAATCGGTCTTCATTGGAGATGCACTGGAATGAAAACACCACAAACGTCTCGAAAACGGAAATTCATCAATCGTCCCTATTTCTAATAAGATGTAGCCTAGAGAATGAACGTCAAAATCACACCTTTCACTTTTCGATCTGTTTGCAAAATGCAGTATATAAACTGTAGACCTACAGTGAGTCCTCATACAACGACTAATAACGACAAACAAGTTGTTAAGGACAAACGACAAGTTAAGGTAAGCAGTCGAATCAGTGGCTTATTGTGATGAATCTGATTATTCATTGCTTCAAATGAATGCATCCTTGTTTTAAACTCACATAGTCTCTGATCTTTTATAGGCATCAGTCAGAATGGACTTTCTTCGTGTGGCCCTGCTGTGCACCTTTTTCTGCTTTGCGCAGGTTTGGTCATTGCCAATAAACTGCGTCCTTAGAAAGGATTTAATGAAGGGATCCTATACACTTTTAGAGACTGCGGTGAGAATAATGCAGAGAATCTTCGGTGGTGCATTTTAGTGGTAGGTGAATATATATAGGCTATTCATTAACGAATGTACATTTTGTTTTAGGGAGGCCTTTTCCCTATGCAGTGCCTGGAGGAAAAGGTTGCCATTCCTTTCCCGCAAAATGCGTTCAAGTCTGAAAACACGGATCAGGTACAATATTTGAATAAATCTTTTTAATTCAATTTGAATCATTTTTGGTTGACTTTTGTGCACATCTGTTTACTTTTCAACTCTTATTTCTGAAGGTTACTGGTGTAGAAAAAGCTGTTTACCAGACACTTGAGAATATTGACGCACTGTTTGAGAACTCCAGTGATCCACACCAGTGGGATGAAGAAAAGTGGAATGATTTTCGAGGCCTCGTATACCGGCAGATTGTGGAAAGCAAATGCGTAAGAAAAGAGCAAACTTAATTTTCCTATGATAATATCTTAAACTTTATAGATGAAATTATTCTGATTGGAAAGTAATATGTAGACCCGAGGGGGAATAAAATAGGCTACACACAATATTAATTGATTATTAGCCTATTATTATTCTGCAATACAAGTAAATTGTCTTTATTTCTTTCTTTCGCTCATCCAGCTCTTTGAGTCTTTTGTCGCTTTGTATTTCATCTTTTCGTTTTCTTTAACTGGAGATTCCAGATCTTCTAATAGCTATCAGAAGTTTTGTGTTTAACATGACATTGATAATGACTTTTATATTCAGTATTTCATGTTTTCTGGGTCTTGGCAAATATAGATCATGAACAAGTCTGAAGCGGCACAGGATTTTCCCAGCAGAGAAGCTTCACTCAAGGTTTACTTCGAGACTATATCCTCAACTCTGAAAGAAAAGGTACGCTTGTGTCCTCAACCTCTAACTTTAGTCATATCTCTTGTGTTACATAATAAACATTCTAATGCTTACTGTCATTTTTCTGTGCAGGATTTCAGTTACTGCGCATGGGAAATTGTCAGAAATGAGATTCTCCACACCCTGAAGTTCATACTGGACGAGACCATGTTATTCAAGTCTTCAGAATTCTAAATGCTCCCTTGTATTTATTTATTTATTTATTTATTTATTTATTTATTCATTCTTTGTTTTTTTGGCTAGAGGTGTATTCTTTTTCAAATCACTGTAAAGGAAATAACTCACTTTCACTTTTAAATTACATCACATCACCATTTCCATTCAGCACTCGACAGTTCACAGCATGAAGACTTCAGTATTCATATTTTAAGATTGTATTTTTGTTGCATTTTACAAAGTTTTTGTAATTTTAAAAAAATAAATGCATTTTAATACTGACCTCTCAGATCTTGTCTTGTTTTATATATATATAAAAAAAGAGATCTTTGCTATATTTGATTTTTGGTGAAATTAGCTTAAGTAGTTGAGTGAAAGAGATCAATAATAAGTGTGATTTAAATAATAAAGGGGGGGTGGATGAGTAGTGAGGAATGTGTAATATTATCCTCAAAACTGTGACCTTACACATTGATAATGTGACCTTATAGATTTGTGCATCTATGTGGCTGTTTGTTCCAGCAGAAGCGATTTCTACTTTTAGCAGACATTATGATACAAGATTCGAATAGACCTATTAGCGATCACACTTTAACCACATATCCTGTGTTTCTACATTGCTGCAAAATAACATCCTGTTTTTGTCTATTTCTATGTCTAGAACAAATGCAAATATGTTGTACTGTATGTACAGCATGACATCATAATATTATGCACTGCACTGGTCACAAATAGGCCTAAATAAATGCTCTATAATTTCTTCTTCATTTATTCAAGCTTTATTTATTTATTGTTTGTAAGCATCAAGATGTCAGTTAAAATGACTTAACACTCAGTCTCAATGCAAAATAATTCACCAGTTGCCATTGTGTAATTGTAATGTGGCTTTGAACAAACTTGGACTGCTCTAGCTTTTGAAGTGTTAGAAAAAGAAAAGCTCGTGAAGGATTGTTCACAGACCCTGTTAAATTAATCCCTGTAAATGTTGTTCTTTAATCCAGCAGTGGTAGTTGATGTTAAACATGAATGATGTAAGATCAGTAAGCTCAGAAAACCAAAGAACAGGAATGTAAATGTCAAAGCAAGTTTCAAGGCTGTAACTGCTGGGCTTCTCTGTTTTGTTTAAATGGATGTCACTGAGGAAATGCATAGCTATGTGTCACATTTTTACGTAAAAATATCAAATGATTATTTGGGCCAAAATAAATGATAAATTATCTCTCTATTTTTATTATAAATTACAAAAAATCTCATTAACAATAAAAATACAAAGTGACATGTTGTCCCAGCTTGACACTCTACAAATTTATGTATATATATTAATTTATGCATTTAGCAGACGCTTTTATCCAAAGCGACTTACAGTGCATTCAGGCTATACATTTTTTACCAGTATGTGTGTTCCCTGGGAATTGAACCCACGGCCTTTAACGCTGCTAACGCAATGCTCTACCACTGAGCCACAGGAACATTATATATATATATACAGTGGGTACGGAAAGTATTCAGACCCCCTTAAATTTTTCACTCTTTGTTATATTGCAGCCATTTGCTAAAATCATTTAAGTTAATTTTTTTTCCTCATTAATGTACACACAGCACCCCATATTGACAGAAAAACACAGAATTGTTGACATTTTTGCAGATTTATTAAAAAAAAAAAACTGAAATATCACATGCTCAGTATTTAGAGTAGAAGCACCCTTTTGATCTAATACAGCCACGAGTCTTTTTGGGAAAGATGCAACAAGTTCTTCACACCTGGCTTTGGGGATCCTCTGCCATTCCTCCGTGCAGATCCTCTCCAGTTCTGTCAGGTTGGATGGTAAACGTTGGTGGACAGCCATTTTTAGGTCTCTCCAGAGATGCTCAATTGGGTTTAAGTCAGGGCTCTGGCTGGGCCATTCAAGAACAGTAACAGAGTTGTTGTGAAGCCACTCCTTCGTTATTTTAGCTGTGTGCTTAGGGTCATTGTCTTGTTGGAAGGTAAACCTTAGTTCCAGTCTGAGGTCCTGAGCACTCTGGAGAAGGTTTTCATCCAGGATATCCCTGTACTTGGCCGCATTCATCTTTCCCTCGATTGCAACCAGTCGTCCTGTCCCTGCAGCTGAAAAACACCCCCACAGCATGATGCTGCCACCACCATGCTTCACTGTTGGGACTGTATTGGACAGGTGCCTGGTTTTCTCCACACATACCGCTTAGAATTAAGGACTGGGCAGTTAGCTGGGTCGAGCTGGCGGTCTCTACACCAGGAAGTGAATAGCTTCCACTTCAAGGCGTACAGTTTCCTCGTGGAGGGAGCTCTGGGCTGCGTTTCCCGATAACGTTGTCTCTTACCTCACTACGAAGACTCTAAAGGTATATCTTAACTAAAGGTATACATGTTCTAGGCGTGTTCCCCGAACTATACCTTAGGATGTTGCTTAAGGTAAACCTTCTTACGTGCGACGTTAGCAGGTACTGTCCATGGCGGTGGTGCTGAATAGGTTGATATCGATGGCTCGAGAATCGATTGTTCAATACAGGAGCTCTTTCACTGCGTTATAGAGCGGGTAAAGTGATGTTCATTATAAAGAAACACTTTAGAAATATTAGAAATTGCATTTATCGGGGCTCACTGCATTTATAAAATAATCCAAATTTCAAACTAAATGCAACCTTGCATATCACACACACACAAACACACACACATACAGTATATATATGTGTGTGTGTGTGTGTGTGTTAAAAGCATCTGCTAAATGCATAATGTAAGTGTAATATATTTTTATTGTCAGATTTTGAGGAGAGTCGGGCGGCATTGTGCACCTTACAGAATGAGGACTACTGTCTACTGTCTTTCAGCTTGGTGGACAGTGATCACGGCAGCATTATTTACAACCCCAAGCTTTACGGTGAGACTAATGACTAATTTTTTTAATACATGAACATATACAGTTTAACTTATACATTGTGGCATTATACATTAGAATAAAGTTCCATATTATTTTTTTAATTGTTTGTGCATAACTCTCCTTCAGACTGCCCTGAGCCGCCAAACGCACTGTTGATCGCTCTGGGCGTGTGCATGTCTGTCCTCATTATTGGCATTACTCTCCTTGTGATCTGGAAGTTTCTTGTTTCTGTCCATGACCGGAAAGAGGTTGCCAAGTTTGAGGCAGAGAAGGCGAAAGCAAAATGGCAGTCGGTATGATAACATTGTCAAGAGAGCATTACACTGAATTTTCTGTTCATTTGAATGTGTTAAAAGCCTAATATACTTTAAATAACTGTGTTTTGTCCCTCTTTTGTCCTACCACCTGAGCCTGGCCAAACACTCTCCATATCTGCTTCACCACCTCAGGGTGAAGCATCCATTCCCCGGGCCTCTGCCCCTGCCTCGACAGGATGTCTGCTCCCATATTGAGATGCTCAGGAATGTGAACTGCTCTCAGCGAGAGGAGTTTCCCCTGGGACCACACAAGGATCTGGTGCGCCAGCTTGTACAAGGAGCGAGAACGCAGACCTCCCTGGTGGTTGATGTAAGAGACCACCGCTGTGTTGTCGGTGCGCACCAACACATGGTGACCTCTTAGGTCTGGGAGAAAGTGTTTCAGTGTTCGAAACATGACCAGCATCTCTAGAAAATTGATATGCCACGTCAGAGGGCACTGGGGGGAGACGGGCACCGTGTAATGCGGTGTGAACCTGTCTTCCCCAGAAGGGCCTGCCCTCACCAGTCCCGAGCCCGAATAGTCAGGACTTTTTGGTCAAGGACCTCTTAGCCTGAAGGACGGTCCGCAGATCCGACTTAGACTTCGAAGCCCCCGACCCAGAGACGCTCTGTTTTTGAGCCTCCCTATATGTGGAGCTGGTACGCGGAGGGGACTGCTCCCGCCCAGCAGCCCCCAGAGCTGAGATGTGGCGAGGGAGGAACCGCTGAAACGCCACCGCCTGTTTACGAGCCTCCTGGTACCTGTCGACGACGGAATTGACGGTGTCACCGAACAGGCCAAAAGGCGCAAGCGGGGTGTCGAGGAAGAAGACCCTGTCTTTCTCTTTCATATCAGACAGGGTCAACCATAAATGTCTCTCTGCTGCCACCATAGCTGCCATGGACTGCCCAATGGCGCGGGCGGTCTCCTTGGTGGCGCGGAGAGAGAGATCAGCGGTTCTCCTTAACTCTGCGATGTTATCAGAGTTAAGCTCCTCGCCCTCATCTAGCTCTTTAAGCAGGTCTGCCTGGTACGCCTGTAATACAGACATTTTGTGCAGACATGCACCGGCCTGACCTGCTGCCGCGTACCCCTTGCCCACCAGCGCTGATGTCGTACGCAGCGGCTTGGAGGGCAGTGCCGGAGCCTTTAA